GTGCGTTCCGTCCTCAGGGACGTGCGCACAGAGCCGCGACCCTGCCTGTCAGCCGGCCCGGGCGCGGTCCACGGGCGCTCACCCCGTCCGTCCCTCAGGTGCCAACCCACGCCTGCCCCCGGCCCCGCCCCCGGCCCCGGAGCCCCGAGGAGCTCAGGTGCTCACCAAGGACGGAAACCCTCATCTTCCCCCGCCCCCCGGGCAAAGCGGGAACTCACACTGATCTCCGAAAGCGACCAGGGCGCTCGCCAAACGTCATCAACGCGCGCGGCGGCTCCGCGCTCTCGCGAGATCCTGGGAACGACGGCGGCCGCCGAAGGCCAGAAGTGTCCGCGTCTCCAACCGAGGACTCCCGGCCGCGCCCTCGGAGGGTTCGCGCGGCTCCCACAGGGGCCTGACGAGGCAGAGAAGGAAAGGTGTGTGCGTGCGCGCGTGCGCGCCTCTCCTCCGTGCTTCTCGAAGTCCGCACACTTTTAAGTTTAGCTGGATTGTCAGTGATCCAGCCTCTAACACAACCGCTAAGGCTATCATAAATAGAGTTTATAGTAGTCACGGACGAGAGGAGAGAAAGTAAAATAAAGGAGGCAGACACATTTCAGGGCAGCATGCTCACCTTAGCCCCTCTTGGTGGTCCAAGTGGGGATGGGAGAAGAGAGTCGTCTGTACTATCTGGAGGTATTTATAGGGAGCCACAGACATGCATATTCAGTAGTTCCACACGTCACAGGGTGGGTGGGAATCAGCACTAGTCCCAGAGCTCAAAGTGAGGAAACTTACTACCTGCACTGGGGGAAGGTTTGAGGGGGATGGGTGCCTTGGCTGGAGGAGAGGGTCAGGAATGTCAGCTTTCATAGGGAGACAGAATCCACCATGCAGGTGCTCAGTCCAAGGCAGCACAGCTGCTAGGGGAGAACCTGGGCAAGCGACATTCAAAGCTGGAGGATGCACCTGCACCCCATCTCCAGCTTACCAAGAGGTGTTTCTCCCACCGGGGAACACCAGCTTTGCAGATTCCTTCTGCCAAAGTTAGGGAATATAGTCCTGGAGATTCCCACACTGGATGGCCCCTCATAATGCAATCCTGCATTTATGGTTTCCTACACCGTATTTCCATGTGGGAAGGACAAACAATGGCTAAGAAGGCCATATAAAAAAATTCATCACACCACACTGGTTCATGAGATTATTCATTCACTTCCAAATATAGATATGCATATTTTTTTTCATGTGCAGGCAAATATAAAATCTTGTAAACTAGTGGTCTGAAATTTCATTGTCTTGGGTGATCCCTCACTATACTTTCATGGACACAAATATATACACTGAGTGCTCAGTATACATTCATTTCACATCATACAGTCATAGCAAGAACAACAGAAACCTTGCTCATTAGCTTTGATGTCCATTTTAGTAGGAATGGTCACCCATGACTAGATAACAGGTGACGTGGTTAGGATACTTAAGGAACTGAACTTTAAATTCTGCATCTTAAAATAGTCACAAATTATTACGATCAAGTTATTGCTAATCTATTTATGAATACATACTCAGAAAAACTATCAAGGAGGTTTTAATACCTTGGAGGGAGGCATTTAATTTGGGTGCAGCTTGATTATTTGAGTAATACACAATGGATGCGAATCACAATCAACACAACGGTGATTCCTATGAAGTGGAGGTCAGATACACCACTACCACTCCCCAACTTCAACACCATTTCTGAACTCAACAGTTTCCTGTACTTCACCCCCTCCTCAGCTCGGTTTGACAACCCCATCCACTAGTTGTACAGACTCAGAGCACACTCACATGTATAAGCTTTTCGGAGGTGGTAAAGGTTACATATAGGGATCAAGATTCATTTGGCCCCCTGTCCCAAGAAGAATTCACTTCAGTGGACAGCTCTGAAGTTACAGCTCAGGGAGAGGGATATGTCTGATCAGAGCACAGGGGAGCAAATGAAGGGGGAGCGGATCACATGCTAGCCCACCAAGCCCTGAAGACAATATTCCTGCTGAGAGCAGCCAATGCACAAAGAGAACCGCAGGGCTGGCCCCACCAGGAGACACGACGTTCCTCCCTGACCCATATATTGTTACGGAGGACAACACTGGAGACACAGTGTGGGAATTGTGCCCGATCAGACCCGACCACACTGAGGTGAAACTCTAAGGGGGTGCAACAAAACAGCAAGGGGAGCAGAGTAATGAAATCCCCAGGAAATTCCAAAAATAGAATTTGGGGCCAGGGCATGGCATCACTTCAGATTTGATTGGAAAACACTCCTAAAAGTCAAAAAATTTAGTATAAAGTTGGGAGGCCGAGCCCCCACCTCTACCCATGAGTTTAATAAGCACAATTGTACGGTTGAGATATATAAATATTAAAGTCATCGAGAGCATGAGCAATAGAAGAGAGTGAAACAATGGAGTCAGACAATTTTCATGGCAGCATTGCTCACCTCAGCCCCACTTGGTGGTCCACGTGGATAGTGGGGGAAAGGAAAGAGGACAAGGGAAAGAGGCAAAGAGAGAAGAGAGGGAAAGACCGAGAGAGAGCACTCTATTGCTAACCCAGGCCTATATACCTTTGGGGGGCATGCAAGCCCACTAAATACAGGTAAAGGCATACATCACAGGAAGGGGTTGCACTATAGGTTATACAGCAATGAGGGGGTGGTCTAGGGATATACATGCAATAGAAAGAGGAGGGATTGGGGCTATACATGTGACAAGATGGGCGGATCTTAGATTTAGGAAACCAGCTTAACTAAGCTCCTTTGATCTGCTCCTGGCTCAACTGATAGAGACCTTTATCAATAGGATGTGAACTCTAACTACAGGAACCAAATAGATGACTGAAGGCTTGTTCATTGTCTTTAACAGCAGGGATCGGGGCCCACTGCAGTCTGGCACCCTCAGGGAGGGTGTCTGAGCAACAGATCTCACCCACAAACAGACCTTAAACTATTTATAGGCTTTTTATGTGTGTGTCAGTTTTGTTTTCCATGTTGTTGCTGTTGGTTTGTTTTCTTTTGTTGCTTTCTTTTGCTCTGTTTTATTTTTGTGCATGTTATTGTCTCTGCATGTCTATCTAGATAAGATAGGCAGGATTAACAATCCAGAGGCGACAACAACAGGACTGATGGTTCCTGGGGGAAATGGGAGAGGGGAGTCGGGGAAAGGAAGTGGGTGTTAACAACGCAGAGACTAGGGAACAACAAGTGATCTAAAATTGATGAACAGGAGGGTGTTAGAAGCCTGGTAGGGCTTGATCAAGGCCAATGTAAGCAAGAGGAATTACTGAAAATGAAGGATGAACATGATAGTGGGACAAGAGGATAGTAAAGGAAATAGAGGAATGAACTAGGAGGCAAAGAGCATTTATCGAGGTCTAAATACAGACATATATATATGAGGAGGAATGTACATATATTTATAGGTTTAGTACATATGTACATATATTTATAGGTTTAGTATTTAGGTAGCAGACGGATATTGGGCCTCTAGCATATACTGACCAGACATCCCGCTTTTGGCGGGACAGTTATGATTGTTGGCGTTTTTAAAAAGTCCCAATTTTTGGAAAGAATGCACAACAAGCTAGGGAATGGTCTATTTGGTCTATATAGACCAAATTTTTAATCAAGAACACCACCCACCCACCAGTCAATGGTGTCCCATTTTACATCTGGTCACCATACTTTAGCAATAGAGGAATATGGCAGAGTAGCAGGTTACAAGATCAACAAACAAGCCTATCGCACTACTGTACACAAAGGACAAGGCCACAGAAGAGGGGATCAAAAAGGGGGCACCCCTCACAATAGCCATACACAAATTGAATTTTCTAGGGATATACCTGATTCAAACAACAAAAGATCTGTACAAGGAAAACTACAACACACTATTAAAAGAAACCAAGGGTGACCTCAACAAATGGAAAACCATCCCATGCTCCTGAATCGTTAGACTCAATATTGTAAAGATGTCAATTCTACCCAAGGCACTAT